TACACGATCTGCGTAATTAGGGTATCTTAAAAATTTAAATTTCTATTGTCTAATTATTTTCTTATTTATTCACAATTTGAGCAATTAAATACATAAAATGAATAACATTTATTAAATAATATATAAATAAAAAATATCATTAACACAATTTTTTAGAACAATTTTGCAAACTACATAATTAATTACTGTCGATATTTCTATAACCGTAGTAATTATTTACAGATTGAATAAATCAGTCGAATCTACACAGTTTGCGTAATTAAGGTATACTAAAAATGTATTTCACAAAATAATTACACGTAAAATATAAAACACTCACTAAACAAAAAAATATACAATTTAGTTGGAATTTTTATACCAAGAGACGCAATTGATATTGCAGCCGAAATTCTCATATCTATACTTATATAATAAGGTATTCTATTTACCAAATTTAGTAGGTTGAAAATCCAATGTAATTAATGCATTGCTATTTTCTATCCAGAATTTTATTTAATTATTTTATTTATTTGTCTTATATCCCATAAAATCAGTTTAAGAAAAAAAATTCCACAACATTTGATAAGTAAAAAAAAAGGACGTAAAATCTTTACTAAAATAAAAAAGGCTTTATTTATTTATCTTATTCCATATTAACATCGATTTTGTCAAAACAAATCTCATAAAATCGGTGAAGTCAAAATTTGTACGTAAAGTCTATCTATACTAAAAAAATGCAGCTATTTATCTAATTCCTTCTTAATATCTAATTGTATAGAGATCTGTTCTGATTTTGTTCAATCCTCTAATTGTATTTGTATTATATCCCATAAAATCAGTTTAACAAAAAAAACCCATAACATCCGATAAGTAAAAAAACGTACGTAAAATCTTTACAAAAATAAAAAAAGGCTTTATTTACTATTTAATTTATTATCCAATTGTATAGAAATTTTTTCTAATTTTGTTCAAACGGATTTCTGTATATTCAGATTCAGATTTTCTAATAAAAATATTAACAACAATATATATCTACTCTACCCATTATAAATTACAAATCTCAAAATATCGAGTCATCATCTTCCTCACTGTCAACCTCATGCAAACAAAAAATATCTTCAATCAGTCTTTTATTCAAAACAATGAATCATGGATTTGGGTTAATCAAACAAGTCAATAGGTCTAATACACCTATGCTCAAAGTTCAAATTGTGAGAATGTTTTTCCAAGACTGGGGCAGCACATATAAATCATATCACGAGTTGGTTCTGCACGATAAAACTGTAAGCCAAATTATTTGAATTTTTTGTTTAATTTCGAAATTTGAAACGTATATTTTAATTTTTTTATTTTATTTTCGTGTATGTATTTAGATATTTTTGTACATGTTTAGTGAAATATATTTTTGATTTTTTTAATTATATTTTCAGATTTTCAATTTGGCTTATTTATTCTACATATCGTGTATGTATTTAGATATTTACATTATTTATATTTCGTATATTGTAAAACTTTTATTGAATATTGCATCTTATAGTATAATAATCCCCAAATAAATATATCTCGTGTCTCGTACATGTCACGTACTATATATATCCCGTACATTTTTATTTATTCATTTATATAATTATAAGGCTGGATAAATGACCTTAAAATTATGCACCACGTGCATCACACGGGCTCTGTACTAGTTTGGGTAAATCAACCAATTCGCATGATTTGAGTAATTAGGTTATCTTAAAAAAATGAATTTACCATAGGTGATTATTTGAAATATACCATAAATTGTTAAATTAATTTGAATAATTAATGTATCTTATCAATGAATATTTATATGGCATAATTATTTACTTAAACAATGAGCCGCAACTTCCATAAGTGATTATTTAAAGTATACCATAAATTGTTAAATTGATTTCACAAAATAGTAAATAGATCTTTTTTGAAGGGAAATAGTTACTATTTAAAAAATAATCAAACCTTTTGATATAGATATATATGTTAATAAAATAAGAGAGCATACTAGTACAACACCCGTGTATTACACGGGTACTTGTTAAAAAATTATTTTTAAATTTTAAAATTAATGAGAAAACTATATTAAATTTACTTTACTTTTTTACAAAAAAAAAATATATTACTATATATTTTAGAATGATATGTGTTACTTATGACTTACATGTGTTATATTATATTAGTTTTTATAACTTATATCATATAACTACTTGAAATATAGATATATTAGTTGATAAATAATTTTATTTTTCTAATTAATATTAAAAATAATTTTATTATGGTTATAAAGATAAATATAATTTTTTTTTTATACATACAATATAGATGTTAAATCGAAGCTCTTCAAAAGAAGATTAATTTGATATATTACATATGTAAAACTGATAAAAAATACAAAAGTTATTAACTTTTAAAATATATATACAATTCAATAGTTATAATAAGGAGTGATATTAAAATGCAATTAATACATGTACCATGACCATAAATAATCAACATATTTATGGTAATCCGAACCTAATTATTTTTGGTTTGTAATTAAATTAAAATTTACCCAAGCCTAAGAATGAAGCATATAATTTTGCCACATATAATTCTGAATCACTAGAAGCAGTCACGTAGGCTCAGAGCGATTCTGCGTTAATACATAGGGGCGATTTATTTGTTTGTGATCGTGGAATTTCTATATCATTTTCACCAAATGACGAAATATATAGCATTAGACAACGAAAAAATTGGATATACTGTGAAAAAATAGATAAATGAGCATAATTAATCTTTTAATATAAAATTGATGCAAATGCATTGATTGATCCGAACTAACAAGCGAAAAAATATTGGGTCAAGTCCAGAACAAACTATAAGCCCATTAGTTTGGGGCCATCCAATAATTATTAATTTTCATTGAGCCGTTTAAGAGTTGGGCTTGAGAATATAAGTATAAAATATATAGGGAAATTTTTGCACCTCCTACTAGATAATAAAATATTTTCAAACTTACCCTTATTTAAAAGTATTTTCAAAATACCTATTCCAGCTATTTTTTTTTTAAGAGATTGCAACATTATCAGTTACCTTGTAACGTTCTCAACTCAGCATGTATTGCGTGATTTCCGCCCAGCCAGAAAACAAAAAAAAAAAAAAAAAAAAAAA